TAGGTTGTGGTTGCCTGATTTCCTTTTGAAGTTTTTCACTGAAAGTAATAGGCAGTTTCAGGAATCCGTTTGTTAAAATAGCAAGCACAACCTAGCACAAGGGTGATTCGTGAGTTTAAGATGAAACTAAACAATCATCACCATAGTGGCATATGCATTGGGCAAATATACCACAGGACCCTGTGGAGAGGGTCTGTGGTCATCTCCACGTTGCAGGGGTGGCAAAGGCTCACAGCTAGGAGGTGACAGAACAGCCAGCACCTGCCTTCGAATATTCTTGGTCTGATTGGCCAGCAGTTCCATAGATTTCTGTGGAAAAGGAATTACTAATGAGATGAAATTCAACCTCCAGTGCATGATTCCTAAACCTATGGTGTACTTTCTGTATACTTTGAGGGGGAAAAAGGGAGAGTGTGTTTTTGGAGATAGGAGACTGTTTAAAATAGGTACTTGTTTGAAGACAGTTCTGTGTTACCACTGGTGAGAAAATGGGCTGTTCACATTTCCTTTGTAAAGTCAACCTTTGAGAAACCCACACTATTATAAGAGAGAAATTTCACCTTAACGCTTGTAAAAAGGATACTCTTGGACACTGAAATTTCCTTTTGTGCAATGACTTCTTTTCACTCTAAATTTGATGGAATATCTGTATTTCAGGGTCTGAATGCTCAATCTAAGTTCACCCATTTTTTTCCCCCAATACCTTATAAAAAAAATTCTTTTGGTAACAGAATTTGTTTTGTCATCCAGATACATTTCTGTGTATTTTTGCTGATACTTAGTCATTAGATGGATTTATATGTAAGCATGTTCTCTACATTCTATCTTGCCCTAAAAATGTAATGAAAAGGAATTTTAAAAATTAAATTTTATAGCGTTTTTGTGCGGTCCAGTAGACTTTTTTTGATATACAGTTCTATGACTTGTAACATATCTGCCTGTAACTCATGTAACGACCACCGTAACCAGGAAACGGAATAAATAGTTCCATCCTTCCTCAAGTTCCCTCGTGCTGCCCCTTTGTAATGAAAGCCCTCCCCACCTAATCTCTGGCGGCTACTGATTTGCTCTCTGTCCCTATAATTTGCCTTTCCCAGAATGCCGCATAAATGGGATCCTTCAGTGTTTAATCTTTGGAGACCAGCCCCTTTCCCTCAGCGTAATGACTCTGAGATCCTTCCCTGTGGTTGCATGTATCAGCCACTCATCCCTTTTTATTGCCGAGCACTGTGCCAGCGTATGTTTGTAGCACAGTGTGTTTGTCCATTTACCCTTCACAGGGCATTTCGGTTTCCAGTCTGGGGCAATTATGAATGAAGCTGTTATACCTATTTGCATACATGTTTTTGTGTGAGTAAGCCTGAGTTTTTTTTTTCGATAAATCCCTAGAAATGGGGTTTCTGGGTCACATGTTAAGTGTGTGGGTCATTTTATAAGAAACTGCTACACTGTTTACCAGAATGGCAGTGTTTTGCATTCCCACCAACAATGCATAAACTTAAAAAAAAACTTGAATGCTATTTTAAATGCTCTTGGGTTGAAGTTGGCAAGTTGTGTGTCACAGCTCCTTAGGACTCTGAAGAGATGCCTCATGACAAAGGGAGAATCTAGGCCCTCCCCCCGCCATATCAGCTTCAGAGAGAACTGCTCCAGTTTTATTGTTATGTTAAGTTCTGTGTAAAAATACATTTGGGGAGAAAAGAGTTGTATCTTGGAAGTGTTTGGAAACCATTGCAGCAGGGCATTGCATCCAGATGTGGACCACGGGGTTCCCCAGGGACATGCTGGGCGGCACCCCGGGAACTCTGCACGTGGTGAGGAAGGGTTCCCCTCTTCAGCCCCTTTTCAGTCCATGTGATGATGTCAAGGAGGTCTTCATTTAGGCCGATATGTCTATGACGTCCCCTAGTGTGTGAATGTCCTCTTTTATAAGGAAGGCGCAGGCTTCGGTCTCAGAGCCTTCAGCAAGCAATACGACCCATTCAGGCTGCCAAAAACCCTATAGCTTTGTGTTTCATATGTTGTTTTTATGGTTATCTTCTCATTTAGAACAAGTACCACCGGTGTTCCATCTTTCTTTTGAAATACATTTGTTTAATATTTTTAAAAATGGATCAATTTATAGAAAAATATTAAATATTATATATCTTATATACAGATATGGCAAGGATTATGAGAATGTGCTAGAATGACTGAAGTTTGGGAAGCTCTCAACCAAGGGATTTGGTTATTTAAATTGATGGTGAAGTAGCCTTCACCGGCGACTCATGGCAGCCCAGCTCCGGGTCGAGCCGCTGTTCACCATCTTTGCTGCAGAGGGCGCAGCGTCACTGGTCCTAATGTGGGATCCGAACTGGGGCCCTGCTGCTCAGAGCCGGCATCCCAAGTCAATCCCCAACCAACGTGCCACTCGGCCGGCCCAATAATTTTATTTTTATCATGTCTTGGGAGCCATCTTGATGTGTACTCTGTCTTCTGTTGGACACATTTTTGCATTTGGGGAAAATACTAAGTACCTGCAGATATAGTGACAACCTACATGACTTTCTGAAGCCCCTTCCAACTTTGTAGGGTATCACAGTCAAGCAGCAATACAACAAGTACCGTTGTTAGGATAGTCACTGATGCCAGCACGTCTCTGCAATTAGATGTCTTTGACACTAGACGTCACAAATTGGCAGCTGCCTGAGTTCCGTTCGGCCACTGGTATTTCTTGTTTGGCCCATGTGATATCTAAAAAAATTTTTGGAAAAATTAGTTTCCACCATTTAAAAATCAGGAATTTTCACATTTTTTTCTTCTTTAAGAAAAAGCAGATTTCATGTTTGTTTTGAAAATTCATGAATCTGGCACCACTAAACCAACTTATCTGAATGGACGGCTGCCATTTTAGACAGAGCGTGTGCTCTCTTCAGATAACCTTGGCTTAACCCATTCAGGCTACCTTCCTGGCCCTGGTGGGTATTTGAATTTGCCCCCGACCGTCTGAGCCATAGAGCCTGGGCTTCCCGCAGTAGACTTGCCTAGAAAAACAGCATTCCTCCCTGTGCTGGAGGGCTGACATGTTGTTGCCCCGAAGCTCACTGAGTGTCAACCTGGCTGTATCGCCTGGTGTAGTAGATGTAATTCTGGACCTTGGAGGCAGAGATCGGGGTCCTTTTCCTGGTTAGTGCTCGTCAGGTTATCTTGGATCCTTCAAAATGGAGATACTGTTTCCTGTTTCAATCTCTTTGTCTTCACTTCTTTGTATCCTCTTTGTAGAGTTTTTGATTGTAAGCAACAGTTGAACAAAGTGGGACTTGATTGAGAGGATATTGGATCACTCAAGGCAGCAAAAGAAAAGGAAATGATCTGGACTCAGAAGTTCAGGAAACCAGCAATACTTGGAGGCCCGTGGGTGGTACAAACTAAGGAAATTGATAAATTGCCTCCAAATATTTTCCCATTCTTTATCATTCTTCTGTGTCTGAAGTCCTGGAAAACAGAATGAGGGTGGCTTGGCCCCACATCCTTGATGGGGGAGAGGGGGACACTTGGGTTGACAGTCCCTCTAAGGCTCCATACAATGGAAGGCTTCCTCCCCGAGAGGCGATCTGGGGGCTGCGTATGGATGGAAGCCAACCAAACAACAAATGGTCACCACACCCTTTCTCAAGGTTGTCATGACAATACTAAATGTACCCTGTAAAACGCCATAGAACCGCAAGGAAGTAGTATTTCAAGTTGCATCCAAACCAAATTATGAGCGTGCTCTTAAAGGCAGGCGTTGGCATCAGATAAGGAAGACGTCGAGTGACTAGAACAGAGAAAGTGACAATTTCATTCCTTTTAGTCCTTGGTTTGGTTATAACATCTCCAAAGAAGCCACACTAACTTTCAATGAAAACCAACATTTATAAATTCTAAAGGTTCCTACTCCAGTCATGTGATGAAAAGTTCTGTGATTGAAACTTGAAAGGCATTTGCTCACTCAAATTTCAAGTACTGATAGCATACTTTTTCATTGTTTTCATCATGTTACATAAATGTGCCTGTTTAAAATACATGTATACAAAAAGCATACAGGGGTAAGTTGTAGAAAATTGAAAAGACAGTTTCAAATTTGAGTTTGAATGCACTACTGCTGCTTGCTAGAGTGAGCAGGGCGTGACGTGGTTGGGTTGCAACTGCTCCTAAAAGCAGCACCTGACGTTTCACAGTGTTAGGAAGAGGATGCTGTGTTTTCATACTCACCTGTGAGCCTATCAAATAAGGACCTATCAAATGTGCCATGACTATGCAGGACCATAAACGAAGTGATTCTTCCCCAAATCCTGAGTCTCTGTGCATAAGAAGCCCTGTACATATTATTTGAAATATGTAGTGGATTTTCAAAGCTGGAAAGATATTAACTGAGCTAGAATACTCTTTGATTTTTGTGCCCTTATTCTTTCTTTCTCTGTAAGATCTTGACTTGCAACAAGCAATGGAAATGAATGAACAAAACAAACAAACAAAAAGACAAAAACAAAAATAATTGTCGCCATGGCTGGAAATACAAATTAATGATGCAAATGAGAGAAGCAGTGCAGAAAAACCTCAGCTGGGTGGCAGGAAACAGAGAGAGCCCAAGTCAGAGACTGCTCTTTTTTAAAAGGCACAACAAACAACTCCCAGAGACGTGTACGTGAAAATCATCTCTAATAATAGCTCATGGTAGGCAATTCCCAGGAAGAAAAATCATTGGTGCGCTGAGAAAATTAGAGTGAGAACGCACAGGGTCTTGATGTGTTTCTTAAGGCAATGGGGCTTTAGAGTTTACCTTTGTGCCATGTCCATTGATTAAAGACAAAATATATGCCGGCCATTTTTGACCATCATTTACCGTATTGATTTGTTAGCAGGGGAACTGTAATAAAAAAGCCATTGATTTACTGTCCTTATTTGCTTATGGGCTTTTTTTTTTTTTTGTATTAATTTTTCACTTTCTCCCTCTCTCTCTTTTGGATCCTTTCTTCCAGACAAATGCTGTGCTTCGTGAAGTCCGAAGAGAGGGGGTCCCTGTGGAACAAAGAAACGAAATCCTGACCGCCATCCTTGCCTTGCTCAGCATGCGCCAGAACCTGAGGAGGGAATGGCATGCCAGGTTAGTTCCCTGAGGACATGACGTTGGCTGGCCCGGAAAAACGAGAGCTGTGTCCCGCCCGCTGGCCTCACCCTTCTCGTTTGAGGGGCCGTGAAAAATGGCCACGTTGCCGATGCTTTCCGCCAAAGTTAGCTCCTGCACATGGTATCTCCGTGAACTGCAGCGATCCCCAGTGTCCTCTGTGTGTGTACACGAGTGATCCCCAAGCGTGAATGCTTACGTCTTGAGCATAATGGGATATGAAGAACCCTTTTAATCAACAGTCTAAGAGACGGGCGTTGCGATTTACTGAGGGCAGATGTCTGGGAAACTCCCGTAGTGCTATCATGTCACTTGATGAGAGGGCGCCTTGCTTGAAAGTAGTCTGTGTATCAACCCCGTTTTCAGACTCGACCAAGTAGGAATCCCTTTGGCTTCAACATAATTTCTTTGCACACGGATGTGCCTGTGGTTTTAGAAAGCTGTGACGGGTAGGAAGTTTATTCAAATCATCAGATTTTTTTTTTTTTTACAGAATTGAAGCCTGCATATTAAATATCATGTTATTGAAAAACAATCAATGGATGGAAAGCTGGGATTAGTTTGCCCACATGTTAGGGTTATTCTTTGGATGTGTAGTTTGTAAAAATTGTTGAATTATCGTCTATCTCTAAGCAAGAGGGAGAGGAATTGGGAAAGATTAGGCTGTATTTGGTCTCCGAGTCTACTTTGATGCTTAAAAATCCTGTGTGCCTGGGAGTCCAGAACATTTATTGATAGCCATAATATTCTCCAAATGAGATCATGCGACTGAATTTACAATAATTGATGGCTTTCCTAGTAACAATGATCATAAAAATAGATTTGTCAGAATAAGGCTGAAGATGAACATTTTCGAAGAAAGGAGATAGTAAAGAGCATTAAACTATCGGTTCTGATTGGGTATTGGAAGGCTGCTTTTTCAAATACGTGTATTATCTCTATATTCAGACTTACAGTGAAACAATTATTTAAAAATTTCCAGTGGTAGTCTTCCTTTCTGCCCTTTTTTGTCATGTGGTCAGAGTAAGTGACAGCTTTAACGACAGTCGGTGATTTCCAGTTTAAGTTTTAGTAATTTTTGAATTTTTGTTACCGTGTAAGTATATATTTCAGTGAAGTATGCATATTTTATTAAATAATGGAATATCAGTGTGGGGACATCTAAGAGGTTTTTCTCTCTCCATGTTTATATCTTTCCCCTGGTGATTAAATAGGGAAGGGAGAAATAAAGAAAGAATTCCCCTGTCATCTGTCTCCCACCAGCCCCATCCCTCCAAAGACAGCACCGCTCAGAGACCAAATGTTGAGAATGGATGTCTTCTGTTGAGTGCATTTGGTTTGTTAACAATAATTTCCTAATACACCAAATCATCAGACAACGTGGCCGAAATGGCCTGTTGGAAAGGAGTCTGGTTTCAGCATTTCTGGCCTGTGCTGCTAACAATTTAATCAGGAGCTGGAGCCAGTGTTGAAGTTGATGTAGTCTAGCATCTGAAACAAAAATTCTCAAGTCCTTTGTGGTAGGGAGAAGAGAAAGGGCTTAGCAGCTGACGCTGTGCAGGCCTCCTTAAAACCAAACACCTAAAGGAAAATTTCAAGAGGATGGTGTCTTGAGAGCTCAGAAGGAAAAGTGTCCTCAGAGTATTAAATAACCATAATCCTTCCCCCCACCCCTTCTTCACCTTCATTTGATGTTCCCCATCCCGGTGACCTGTCTGAAAGACTCATCCACATGATCCGTCTAAACAGACTGTTACCATACACCTTTTTTTTTCCTCATCAAAGCTTCCCCTGGCTGTCTGGACTCTGGCATCGCCTCCTGTAGCCATCAGGTGCGTGGTGGTGAAAGTTATAAAACATCCACTGTGGCGCTGACTGAGCTGCCTGTGTTCCAGAGGCTGGCCTATTGCGTACGTCGGAATTACACCAGGAGAAATGTGCTTCGACAGAACGTAATTAGTGCTTGCCAAAGGCCAAGCGATAGGTTACAGTATTTTACTTGCCTCAAAGCTATCAGGGGATCAGTTAGATTAGATAATAGAAATTTTTTCCTCTGAAAGTTAAATACAGATGACTGTAATTACCTTATATTGCCCGTTAGAGAGTGCGTTATGAATAGTACAGCTTCAAGAAATTTAGGTCAGCCGAGACTCCGCAGCTGGCAATGACTTCAGTTTAAGGTCCCCGTCTTCCCTCTTCAGCAGCTTCGTAGGGGATGATGATAGCAGGGAGAATTTTCAGCAAAACGTGTAACGTGGTTGTGAAATATTTGTATCCCTCGGGCCCGGAGCCCAGCCATTGTGTGGGACTCACTACATACAGTCTCTTAAACCGAAAGCACATGTTCTCTGTAATTTAGCTTTTGGAAGCAAGTGTCAATTCTGCATGACTTGGGGGTAACCGAGTTTGTCACAGCGTCACACAACCCTGCGATTCCAGAGGCACATCTGAGTGCTGCGGGTTTCCTTCCCCAAGCTCCGTAATCCCATAAGCAACCCTCTCCAAATAGGCTTATTAGGGCTGTCTGTTCACTTCCCCGGAGCTGAATGATTCAAAATACGTCGGGAGAAGCTGTGTGAATGCAGGGTAAGTGTTAACAGAAGTGGTACAGAATTTCTGAAGATTTGGCTTTGTTTATACAGTCCACTCTGCCTGATGGACAGCTTGTTATAGCTTTTAAAGAACTGGGCAAGCCCTCTGCTCTGACCCCTTCTTGACCTCTGCAGCCCAAAGGTCAGCCTGCAGCTAATAAACTCTGAGGCTCTTAGGGTCTACTGTAGGAAAAGGCAGAAAAAGAGCAGCTGCGAGGACTGGGGATCCCAGGCTAGGCTGCTTTAAGGTCACTCTCTGATAATGAAAATGATTACCAAATTATATGGAAGTTTAACTGCAATAGCGAGTGAGAAGAGGGTGGAGCCCAGCATATTAGGTTTGATAAATGAACTGTGAAGAGGCCCATCTGGCTCTCAACATCTTTTCTCCCCCTCACTCCCTACCAAGGGGAAACATTTTAAAATAACAGCAGTACATATAGACTCAATGACCCATGCAAGGAGCTGGAATGGATTAAGATTTAATGGTGACAGTGGAAGAAATTATCATTTGAAAAGTGCAGTAAAGAAAAGGTACAGTTCAATGTCCATGCCCGAGTTGTTTTTCTAAATAAAATATAGTAAAAATCAGTGCCTTTGTGTATCTTACACAAATCCCTAGCGTCTTTCCTAGATTGCTGACAATTTTGAGGGCGTGTTTATTATGGAATAATTATTTGTAGTCAGCTTAAGGAGAGCAATGAGCTTCCTTTGCCGCAAACATGTCAGACTGAGAGTCAGATATTTTATTTCTGCCTGCTTGCTCCCTTTAGAGAATGTAGGTCAATCAAGTGTTAGAGAAAATGCCTTACCAAAAAAAAAAAAAAATTTGTGAGCTATTTCAACATCCAGTCACTGAACAGTATGTGGTTTTTTTTGTTTGTTTTGTTTTTTTACATTATGCATTTTTTGATACTGGATATATGTGTGACTCTTGTACACTGTTTAATTCTTACAAGTTGGCAGTTTTTCTGTAAAAATAGGAAGAAAGCACGTAATAGTAATTGAGTAGAAATGTTCCTTTCTTTATTCCTTTTTTCAAAGAACCCTCATAGTTATGCGGATCAGTGCCAACAAAGGGTAGGTCACAAGCTCTATGTTCATTTACTGTTAATTGATCAGAGTAATCTAGTTAAAGCTCTCTCCTTGCCTCATGTGAACATGGAGGGTCCTGGTGTCTGACCAGTGACGTTGGCTTCACAAAGCCCTGTCCTGCTCTTCAGAGACAGTTGGCCCGTTCCATGACTCTACTTTCTGAAGCCAGAATGATTTCATTTCATGAGCGTTTTGTACACTTTTGTATATGCTGCCATATACAAAAGACTGCATGAGAGGCTGTGTGTGCGCGGATGTGCCCATCAGCCCATTTAAGAATGTGTCTGGGGATGCGAATTTAGCAAGTTCCTAGAAAGAGGCTATGGAAGGCGGTGAGAAGGAAAGCGGGGGCGCTGTCGTCACCACAGCTTAGTGGCAAGTTGCTGCGACCCGCTCAGGAGAGCATTTAATTGTAGGTGTCTTTGCAGACGAGAATTGCTGTACCATTGAACACCTTTTTTCTTGAACTACATACATTGCTTACGTAATAAATACAAGCCTCGCCCAGACAATGATTATATTTAAAATAGATATAAAACGCTGCTAAATATTATCCAGAGTGAGCGTATTTTCCCTCTTTGGTTTTGACTTGACTGTGTATGTCCAAGGGGATTTACAGGTGAGCAGAAAGTTACATGGTAGACAACGCCGGGAGACGAGGAACTCTTAGAATTAATGGTGTCTTTTAACTTTAAAACAATGCCTTTAAATTTAGGCCAAGTACGGTATGAATACAAAAAGTGAGACAAGACCAGGCCAGTGGGGTTTTTCAAAAATTGAGATATAGTTCAAATAATATAAAATTTCCACATAATATAAAATTTTACATAACATAAACTTAATCTTTTCAAAGTATACAGCGAAGTGACTTTTTTAGTATGTTCGCAGGATTGCGCAGCTATCACCATTACGCAATTCGAGAGCGTTTCCATCACCTCAGAATGAAACCCTGGGCCCGCTAACAGCCACTCTCAATTCCCCCTTCTCCCCACAGCCCCAGGTAACCACACATCTCCTTTCTGTCTCTCTAGATTTGCCCATGCTGCACATTTCATGTGAATGGAATCACATAATGTGTGGCCTTGGTACACCTGGCTCTTTCGTTTAGCTCAGTGTTTTCCAAGTTCTTCCACGTTGTAGCATGTACGTACTTCATTCCTTTTTTTTTTTGCCAAATAATATTCCGTTGCACGGACATACCACATTTTGTTTATTCGTTCATCAGTTGAAGGACGTTTGGCTTGTTTCCACTTTGGGGCGAGGATGAATAACGCTGCTCTGAATATTCATGTA